GTGGGTGCCATGGAGGATGCGCCGGGGTCCCGTGTGTGCCACAGAGCACCCGTGTGTGCTATGGAGGACACGCTGGGTACCTGTGTGTGCCACGGAGGCACCTGTGTGTGCCATGGAGGATGCACCAGGCACCTGTGTGTGCCGTGGAGGACAGGCCGGGCACCCGTGTGTGCCATGGAGGCACCTGTGTGTGCTGAGCCCAGGGAGTCGCCCTCCTTCCCGCCGCGGGTGTGCGGAGCGGCAGCAGCGCAGGGCGCACGCGGGGGACCTGGCAGCAGCACGTGGGGTCGGAGGCTCCGGCAGCAGCTGCCGGCGCCCCCGTAACGGCCGCTCTCGGTCGCAGGCCGCGCAGCAGCTGCGCTTCGTCAGGCAGTGGTCCGTGTTCGGGAAGACCCTCCAGAAGTCCCTGAAGGAGCTGATGGCCGCGGGGCTGGTGTTCGCCGTCCTCATCCTGGCGTATGCCCAGCTCGGCTTCCTGGTGAGCGCCGCGACCTCCCCGGCTCCATCTCATGTTGCAGGGCGGCTGCTTGTGAGCAAGGGTCCCCTGTCCCCCCAGTCCCCCAGGGAGGGGACGCGCTGGGCAAGTGAAGCCCAACAGGCCCCTTTGGCATTTGCAAATCTCAGCGAGCCCTGAGCACTGCAGGGTGGGTTTGTCTGGAGCACATGAGGCTGCTGGAGCCGGGGGCTGTGGCTGTGCTATGTCCCTGTCCTGGCTGCTTGGAGCTCTGGCTATGGAAAGGGGATGGTGGCTATGGGGGGGATGCTCTGCCACTGCCTGCTGTGTTTTCCTAACATCTCGTGTGCCCTTTGCAGCTCTTCTCCTCCTCCTCGGAGTCCTTCCGCAGCGTGGGCAGCAGCCTCCTGCTGCTCTTCGCCATGGTGCGGGGCAGCGCCAGCCTCCGCGCCGGCCTGCCCGAGCCGTGCGGCCCGTTCGCGCTGTTCTGCAGCAGCTCCCCGCTGCTGCTCGTGCTGCGGCTCTTCGCGGCCGTGCTGCTCTCCGGCTACCGCGAGATGCACTTGGAGCTCTACCGGCCGGCCTTCGAGCCGCAGGACTACGAGATGGTGGAGCTCTTCGTGCGCAGGCTCAAGATGTGGATGGGCTTTAGCAAAGCCAAGGAGGTAAGCGCAGCCCTGGGGGACGCCCGGGGGAGGAAGGGGCTCAGGGGACAGGCCGCAGACCTCTGCAGAGAGGCAGCATCCACCGTCCTTGGAATTCCTTGGCTCCTGTCTGCGTTCCCCTGCTCTTTGCAGGATGGAGCAGTGGCTGCTCCACAAGGCCTGGGAGATGGGTTGGGGATGGGGCATTGCAGGAGCATTTGCTGCTGCTTCCGTCCCACCGTTGCACTTGGTTTTAGGGGAGAGGATCTGTCCCCAGGTCCATGCAAGGGACTCAGCCACCAGAAATGGTGACACTGTGGCTGTTTGGAGAGGATGCCCAGGGACAGCCCTGGAATAACCTTGTTCCCTGCCCCTCTTCTCTTGCAGTTCCGCCACAAGGTGAGGTTTGAAGGGATGGAGCCCCTGCCCTCCCGAGACTCCAGCGACTCCAAGTCCTTCCGCGGCCCCACTCCCAGCGCGGCCTCCGACAGCTCGCGGGCCTCCACGTCCTCCAGCCAGCTGGACGGCCTCAGCCTCGTGCTGAGCACCCGCGACAGCCTGGAAGTGGACGC